TTTACTATGGTCAAGATATCACTGGAAACGAAGATGATTCAGTTTTTCGAAAATTGAAGGATTGTTTTTCAGATGGTTACCATGGTGAATGGGCAGGATTTTACAACAAAGGTTATCCAGCGTCTTCGAAGCATCGACACATGTTCTGGCATGTTAAGTACAGGAAGACTATGTCTCCACATCAAGAATATTGGTACCATCTAACAGATGACCAATTGATGAATGAGTACATTGCCAGACACAAGGATCAAAATCCACAACTTGAACTACAAGAACTCAATCAGCACATTGAATATGGTTGTAGTGATCCTAGGATGCATCCTCTTCATCAAGACAAGGCAGAATCATCCTCAAAAGAAGCAGAAAGGAGGATTGATGACGATTTTGGAAATCTCACCAAGGTACTCCAAGATTACGTTGAGGACCACAAGGTCTTGCCTTACTGTATGATCTTGCATAGCTTGGCTTACAGATATTTAGGTGGAGGCCTATCAGACCCAACGTACAAGGATGCCGAATTTCCATACAGATCCTCTCCACAGATAACAGCAATGTTTTGGAATTTGGGAAACTGGTGCAGAAACAGATTTGAAAAATGCCCGGTTCCAGAAAGATTTCAACAATTCATTCCACACATTGACTACACTATCGATGAGGATCATGAAAAATTTGATGAAAACAAATCACAGTTCAACAATTACTTCATCAATGTCATCAAGAACTTTGGAGGACATCTTTTCATGAATTGCGAGGCTGGTTCATTGTATCCTCACAGAGAAAGACTCGACGAGGTTGACTTTAAAACTTGCTTCAATGACTATCATGACTTGATGGTGGCAGCTCGCCTTGGAAAGGATGGCTATATCAAGCAAATTGCTGGATATCACACAGATGACAACGACACACGAGTTCGACAAGTCTCATGGGCAATCTTCGAAGTATCTTGGGGAAAGACAAAGGACCGAGATACAGATGAGATTGTTGACTTGACAAGAGCTAGGATGAGGATGACACGTGTGTGCGTTTATCACGTCGGACAGAAGTATGCATCAGACTCTGCGGGGATTGTTGGTGAGTGTTTAGCTGTTATGGCTTTTGAGTGTGCCAGATATCAAGTTGACTTCATCGCAGGTGATGGGAACAAGGCATGCTATTACACCACACCAAAATCTCCAGGTGTCCCTACATACCAACACAGCCTTATCCAATTCTGGATCAACAGAATGGTGGGTGTTGCAACACAAGCCATGCGCAAGTATTTTGATTCATCTTGCCCTCCAATTAGGGTCAAGCATTTCATTTCTTGCAGTTATCGTGACTTGGATTTTCTTGCAACGCACTTGGATGGCATTACAACAGCAACATACACCGACGAGCTCATGAATAAGACAAATGGTAAAGGTGATTGCTGTATGTTAACAGTTGTTGAGTGGGGTCATTCACGTTTGATGTGTCAGGAACACCTAGATGACTTTGAAGGTGATGAAGATCGCATGAACTATGTGGGTGAATTTTACTTCAAGGTAAATGAAACTTGCTTACATGGTGATCACAACATCTTCATGGTTGCCCCAAATGATCGTGATGCTCTTAATCCAATTCTTATTCATCTTGATCCTTCTGATATGTCATGGAATGAACGACATCATTACAAACAGGCTTTCAAGAAGAAGCAGTATGCAGATACAAGAAAGGAAAGACAGAAGGAGAAAAAGAGAAAGGCATATGAAGATCAAGCATCAACGTATCAGGGCAACGCTAGTTGGGGTGGATCCTCATCTTCTTCGTCCAGACCATGGAGAACAAGCTTTTGGCTATAAGTGAGTGTACACTTCTTTAAATGAAGATAACACAGCATGAGAGGCAGTGTACAGTTTTCTGTGCATCAACTTATTTCACACAGATGGCATATACTCTTTTAGATAGAGATAATGCCACAAGTGTCTGAACTTCAATTTAATGTAAAATAGATACTCTTGTAAATAGAGATACTATACACATTTATCTCCATGGACCATCCTGCGAGCAGACCACTTCGAATGGAGCGAACTCCAAAAATTACCAACTTCGATTTCAGTCCATTGTTTGCTTGAATGAGCAACTTTGGAGATCCGCTATTTCCGTTTATTTCGTGATTTGGTCAATTGTTTTTCGTATGACCTGAATTTCTGAATCTTGCGAACCCGAACTTTTCAATTCGAACTTTCACCGGTAGAGCGAGGCATTTTGCCTGTGGAGAGACCGTGCGCGAAGCACCATTGGTCGCTACTGGAAAAATTAGCGAATCCGCTGTTCTTTTTCGACATGTCCTTAGGACATTCGCTGCTTTCACGTGTTTTTCAATTCGAAGCCACTGCGTAACTCCGGTTTATTTTGCTATTTGCCATTGTGTAGAGAAGTCAGGAAGATACTCTTAATACCAATTGGGTACGGCAAGGCGTAATGCTCTACTCATTGCTTTTGAATTTGTGCCTGTGTTTTTGTTTCGACCTAATACCTA